TTATGTATACACACATAAAATAAAAAATGAGAAAATTTTACCTGACCGTCTTCAAGAGGGGAAAACCTTGAATTTTGAAGAACTTAAAAAGTCATTTAAAAGACATTTCCGAAGTCAGGAAAGCTTATTTCCCGCATTCTATAAATCGAAATTTTCCCGGGGAACCCGGAACCTCTTTTTGTGGGGGGTTCATCGATTCATTGAATCATTTTCAAGAGGGGGAAATCTTGATTTTGAAGAAATTTAAAGTAATTAAAAGACACTTCAGAAGTCGGGAAAGCCCATTTCCCGCCTTCTAGGAATCAAATTTTTTTCGGGGGAACCCGGACACCTTTTTCTTTGGGATTCTTTGATTCATTGAATTATTTTCAAGAGGTGAAAAACCTTTAATTGTTTGAAGAAATTAAAAGTAATTAAAAGACACCTCAGAAGTCGGGAAAGCTCATTTCCCGTCTTCTGGAATCAAAATTTTCCCGGGGAGAACCTCCGGACCCCCTTTCTATTTGGGATTTATCGATTTATGAAAAAAAAAATTATATGCAACTACTCAATATTTTTTATATGTATGTATACACATAAGGCCTATTTACTGTAATAACAAGTGGAAAAATTTACCTGACCGTTTTCAAGAGAGGAAACCTTGAATTTTGAAGAACTTAAAAGTAATTAAGACACCTCAGAAGTCGGAAATATTTCCCGCCATTTAGGAATCAAAATTTTTCCGGGGGAGAACCCCCGGAACCCCCTTGTCTATGGAGCTTATCGATTAATTGAAAAAAGAATACGTATATATGCAACTACTAATTTTTTTATGTATGTATACACACACAACCGGCCAATTTACTGTAATAAGAATGAGAAAGTTTACCTGACCGTTTTCAAGAGGGGGAAAACCTTGAATTTTGGAGAACAAAGTCAAAACCTTGAATTTTGAAGAACATAGTCATTAGACACCTAGCTAAAACCTAGCTACTTGAGAAGTTGGGAAAGCTCATTTCCCACCATTTAATCAACACTTTCCCGGGAAGAACCCGAACCTCCATTTTCTCTTTGAGTTCATCGATTCATTATAATAATTTTCAAGAGGGGAAAGCCTTGAATTTTGAAGAACTTAAAAAGTAATTAAAAGACACTTCAGAAGTCGGAAAAGCTCATTTCCCGCCTTCTAGGAATCAAAATTTCCCCGGGGGAGAACCCCCGAACCCCCCCCCCCCTTCTTTTTGGGATTTATGGATTCATGGAAAAAAAAATCGTATGCAACTACTCAATTTTGTTTATGTATGTATCATAGCCGTCGGAAGCATTTTGCAAGTGTGTCAGGCCATTTTAATAAGAGTGGGCATGGGTGGGTGGTAGGGTGCAACATATTTTTTTTTTCACCATAGTTGAAGAAATGGCTCCTCAGCCGGAAATAGCACATGCATAATTTTAGAAAAATTAATGTCTTCACATTTAATTTAAGGGTTACAATTTTTTATATTGGAAGTAGGCCTAATCAGGGCCTGCTTGGCCATTATACCTTTGCCAAGATTTTATAATAGTTATTTGTTATTTTATATTATACCTCTAAACAATTTCAAAATCAATCTTAAATATTGAAATTAAGGATTGTCAATAAAGTTGAAATGTACACGGCAATACAATAAATTGTGTTATAGGCCTATATTACTTACACGTAGATATATTAGCCAATGCACTGTTTTGTGTATAGCGTTTTTTCTATTGAATGACGATAAATGTTAGTGGCAATGTCAGTAATATTTTAATGGAAAGACAAGTTGATGTCTGGCTACTAAGAAATGTTTAATTAAGAATAAATAAGAGCATGCAGTGACTGTACAACCATTTTAAAACATTTAATGTATTATTTTTTAATTTACATCTAAATAGAGAAATCTGAAGACCACATTTAATACCCATGAGTTCCATGTCTCCCTTAGAGTCTCGCAATGGGGTCTCCTAGAAACTGGCAGGAAGCTAGAACTCCAGCATATTTTTCCCCGAAATAAACCATCTCCCGCAAATTCATGATGATATCTGCATGCTTTAACAAGTTTTGAAACTGTAATGTCAATTGTCTGCGCAGCAGTTAGTACCAATCATTAATGGTTATCACCATGCACAGCAAAATTTGGTTGTGATAAGAAAATTCATTTAAACAGATCTCCCGG